GGAGGAAAAAAATAGAAGGAGTGGGAATATAACTCAGTGGTAGAGCACTTGCACAGCAATACATGTGGCTCTGGGTTCAATCTCAAACACCTTTAAAATTAATTAATTAAAATAAATCCTGGATGGGGGCTGGGGATTTAGTTCAGTGGTTCTGCCGCTTGCCTCACAAGCACAAGGACTGGACCGGTGCCGAAAAAAAAAAACCTATTAATTTGTAGGAGTCTTGAAATAGATATGTATGTTTTTATATTCATGCCTAAATATTAATACTTAAAGACAAAATGAAGTCAGTGTTCCCTATGCATAAGTTCTACATCTGAGAAATCAATAAACCACAGATCAAAAATATTCAGAAAAAGCCAGGTATGGTGGCACATGCCTGTAATCCCAGCACTCAGGAGGTTGAGACAGAAGGATCACTGCAAGTTCAAGGCCAGCCTAGGCTACATAGTGAGTTCAAGGCCAGTCTGGACTACATAGTGAGACCGTCTCAAAAAAAAAGGCAAAAATATTCAGAAAAAAATTTATGTATTACACATGTATGTCATTGATCATGTCATTATTCCCCAACAGTACAGTATAAAAACCATGTCTATATTAGGTATTATGGATAATCTAGAAATTATTTTAAATATATAGCAGGATGTGTGTAGGTTATATGCAAATACTATGCCATATGTAAAGGTCTTAAGCATCCTTGGACTTTGGTATCCATGCAGAGGGTAGAGGGTGTCCTGGAACTGATTCCCCTTCAGATACTGAGGGATGACTATAATCACTATTGTCAGAATAAAAAGTGAATAGCCTATAAAATGGCCAGTGAAACCTAGATATCCAAACCTGGGTATCTATACCTAGAACAGTATAGCATAATGATTAACAGAATAAACTTTAATATCAGACAACTCAAACTCAATAATTGCAATTAGCACCATTTTATATTAATTGAATAAAAGGTACTCTAAATTTACTTTTTTTTTTTTTGGTACCAGGGATCGAACTTGGGTCCTTGCGCTTGCGCAGCAGGTGACAAAAACCACTGAGCTAAATCCCAGCCCTAAATTTACTTTTATAAAGAATTTTTTAAATGAATCCTTTTTTTAAGTTAAAGTAAAGTTAGAATTACAAACATTGAAAAGATCCAAAGAAACTGGGGTGGAGGGGAGGGATTTAGCTCAGTGGTTCCACCGCCTGCCTGGCAAGCACAAGGTCCCAAGTTTGATCCCGAGTACCCAAAAAATAAAAAATAAAAAAATAAAAAATAAAACCAGCTGACATGAAAGAAAGAAACAAACAAACAAACTAGGGGGCTGGGGATTTAGCTCAGTGGTTCCACCACCTGCCTCGCAAGCGCAAAGAACCGAGTTTGATCTCTGGTACCAAAAAACAAACAAGGAAACTAGGGAAGAGAGTAAGTAGCAATACTTACCAGCTAAAAAAATACACTCATCATTAAGAACAGAAACAAATTTCTATCACAGGATATAACAGAAGTACTTATTTGATTATTTATCTAAAAATAAATCTTATTAGCTGCTACAGTGATCTGGGTATTCTCTTCCAAATTACCAGTTCTTGACCCACTCCCTAACAGATATAAGCCAGGTCATTAACAATATGATTTGGCAGGCATCTGGAACACAAACTGAACGCCTCCAAGAAAACTCATGCAGACACTAAAATTAATCTGCTATAATGATTGTGGAAACTGCAAAGAAAAGCATCACTGTTTTGTGAATAATCAAGATCAAATTGAGAATGATGTGTGAGCTCAAGATCAGAAACAGTACACTTGGGTTTTTAGGAATGATACTTTAAGATGCATTACTTCTTACACTGACTGCCTTTAAAGACAATGGGGTGGGCCAGGGATTTAGCTCAGTGGTTCCACCGCCTGCTGCTCAAGTGCAAGGACCCGAGTTCGATCCCCAGTACCAAAAAAAAAAAAGACAATGAGGTAAGATAATTTTATTTTGTGTTGTTTAATCTCACTTTTTTTTGCATTAGGTACATGAATTAAGTAATGAATTTTAAGTACATAAAATCACTAATTTTGAATGTTTTAAAATATATGTTCGAGGACTGCTTAGGCTATATAATGAGTTCACAGAGAGAGCTATCTCAAAAAAACAACAAAACAAACACATATATATATGATATATATACATATATCAGTTTATAACAGTAAAACTACCATCCATATTGAGATACTGAACAAAAATCTCGCACATGACTGCCACATAATTTCTTAAATAGTAAATTTTTTGTAACATCTTATTTCTGCCTAATAAAAATATTACTCTCCACCTCTATGACCTAAAGAGTTTCGATTACCTTTAAATCCGTTTAACCTTTGTTTTACACAAATGTATCTCAAATCTGAGGTTTTTTTACTCAATTAGGATCTTAATTGGGAATTTAAAGAGCTTATGAGTATAATTCAGTTCTATCTCTGTCAATCTTTTATGCAAATTTTAATGTTTCCTTGGTATTTTTCTTTTTCTACTTTTTCTTGGGTTTTCATTTGTTTTCCATTCTAGAAATTTGGAGTATATATAACCTATTTTTATCCACAATTTAATAACAAATCAACTTATACAAACTACCATCTGATGCAGTAATTACTGGTTTTCCCAATCACTATTTCAAACATATTCACCCCTCACCAACCAGAGGTTGGTGAAAGAACAGGAAATGTTCTCCTTTCATTGTTAGTATTAGCATTATGAACTTATTTTTTTAAAAGGAATTAAAACTGTACCATTTTCTAACTTTGTCATATGAACATTTAGAAAGTCTTTCCTGTACTTGACCTGCCCACAGTGACAAAGCACTTTTATTTAACATACCTTTGGCTTAACAACATCTACTTTTATAATATTACATGCCAAAGGGGCGGGGGATTTAGCTCAGTGGCTCTGGCTCCTGCCTCGAAAGCGCAAGGTCCTGAGTTTGATCCCTGGTACCAAAAAAAAAAAAATTACATGGCAAAAATAAAACAGTATTTATTTACATTGAATATTTGGTATGTACTTTTCTGGGGGGGAGTTGTTTTGTTTTATTTTTGTGGTACTGGGGATCGAATGGTATGTACTTTGACAGTTTAAAATTACATAAATTGAAAATTTTAGATCCAGCTTACAAATCTATATTGCATTTAGGTTTATTACTCTATATGTAACAATTTTAGATGTCACATTCTTTTTTTTTTAACCATGTATCATTTTTTAAATTAATTACATTGGTACATTTAAGGTATACAATATAATGACATTCATCATTGGAAATTTATACCTTTACATAATTCATTTTGGTTCTTAACCATCTAATCTTCCATACAACTCCCTGTTGTATTTTTGTTGGCTGCAGTAAATCATTCAGCAAAATTTCAGAGAAGATTCTTGGTCGATATGCTTTCTTACCCTTTGTATCTGAGAATGTCTTCTATTTGCCTTCATACAGAAATATTAACTTGGCAGGGTATATAATTCTTGGTTCAAAATTATTTTTCCTTAAAACTCTGTGGATGTTGTTCCATTATCTTCTGGCATTTAGAATTTTAAGAGAAAAACCTGAGGTCAGTCTGATTTTTGCCCTTTTATAGGTAACCTGCTTTCTCGGTCTGGACACTTGCAAAATTTTTTCTTTATCCTTGAAATTTAAAAAAAGTCACAAGAAGCCAGGCATGGTGGTACACCCCTGTAATCCCAGCACTTGGAGGCAGAGGGAGGAGGACTGCCACAAGTTCAAGGCCAACCTAGGACACTTAGTGAGTTCAAGGCCAGCCTGAACTACATAACAAGACCCTGTAAAAATCACAAGGATATGTCTCAGTGCTGCTTTCTTCTCATTAAATTTTAAAGGTACCCTGTGAGCCTTTTTTACTTGCAAGCCTACTTCGTTCTTCAACTCTGGAAAGTTTTCTTCATTTAATTCCATATTTACTGTTTTAGCTTCATTTGCTTTGTCATCTGTTTCAGATATTCCTATTATATGTAGATTGTATCTCCTAGATACATCTCTCTTTTTCTCTTTTCTCATTTTAATTTCTTTGGGCTTTTCCTCTGCATTCTGTAAGAAATTCTCATTTTTCACTTACTGCAGGGATTTTATTTTGTAACTGACTCTTCTTATGTACTTCCTTTAAATAGAAGACCTTCATCTCTTCCATGTGATCATACACCACCTGCTTTACAATTAAGCCCATGTCAGTAGCAAATTTTCTCATGGTACAGTCAATAATTTCTACAAGTTTGCTGTAGAAGGGTAAATTGCTATAGTCTGGTACGCCAGTATCAAGAAGAGGCATTTTCTTAATTATGTATTTAGCTCTATTCCTTTCTTCTGAACTGAGGTCTTAAGACCTTTCAATAGCTCTTCACAATGGAGTCCAAAAACAGTCTTCCCAAGCACCAAAGCTGAAGAACCTAATCTCAATTCTTATTCTTTATTTAACAACTCTATCACTGCCTTAGAGAGTCTAACGAAATGCCAAAGATTTTGAGATCTAGCCAAACTACAGGGAGAGCCAACTTCTGGAAGTCATTTTGTTTATTCATTCATTTTTTTGGTACCAGGGATCAAACTCGGGACCTTGTACTTGCAAGGGAGTTGGCAGAACCACTGAGCTAAATTTCCAGCCCTAAGTCACTTTATTGACCAATTTTTTTTTTTTTTTTTTTGGTACCAGGAATCCTTCCGCTTGCAGGGCAGACAGTGGAAACACTGAGCTAAATCTCCAGCCCCTATTGACCAATTTTGTTCTTCTGAGACTGCAGGGATACTGTGGCTGGTTTCTAGACTATGTTCATAATTGGGAATATCCAAATTTTCAGATGATTCTACCTCTGAAAAGAGATTCTAGGCAACAAGGTCTTTTCCTATTATTCTTACTATCTCTACAAAGAAGACTGTTAGATTAAAAATAAATCTGAATGTATGGGCTGATATGTAATGGAAAGTGTAGTTTATGAAGGGAAACTGATTTAAATTGAACTCACCTGTCCACGTTTCCCAAATTCCAGCTCTATTATGGCAACAGGGGTGTGTATTTGAGCTGAGTGCCTTGACTGAGACTTGCCATCAACTCTCCAGCTCAGATTCCGAAGTCCATCCTCCCAACGGCTCTGGTTCATGAGGCTCTCTCGGATTTTTGTCTTGTGGCTTTTCCAGAATTTGGAAATAACAGCAGCTTGGTCAGATGTGATCCCTCCTTGCTTTTTGGTTTGAGCAGTTAAGAATGCCTCCAACTGGTTAAAATCCATGTCTGCAGATGCAATCGACTACAAAGATGACAGAAAAACAACAACAAATTTAATTTTGTGGATACTAGAAAAAGAGCTTAACTACAGACTATACTTTGAGTGATTCTTAATCACTGAATATACTTTCAAAAAGGGTCAAGTAACAGTAATGAAAATGAGTCATATGTACAGTATAAGTTCAAAGACTGCCTTTGCAAATACTAAAAAGCTACTGTTAAAAATTACATGTCACTCAAATTCCGTACCAATAACTACAAGGTAACTTTTTTTTTTTTTTTTTTT